TGCAAGTTCACACTACCAAAAATAAATAATGAAATTGAGAACTCTCCGTTTATTATCATGTCATATAAATGAAAACCTTAGCCCTTAGGTAGTTAGGTCGATTTGTTTAAGATTGGCGCTACAATTGCAACAAACCTTTCTAATGGCTTCCAGCCTTCCACATCTGGACGATTAGGTTAGTGATGGACTGGTTCCGGTAGTGGTGGACTCGGGCCGGGGTGGTCTGACCTGGAACCCGAACCGGCCTGGTACTGTTGGGCCTGGTACTGTTGGGCCCGGCCCGACCCGGTGGCCCGGCCAGGGACCGGTCCGGGTATGCCCGGCCCGGGGGGTTTTCTGGTGCGGGCTCGGGTCATGTAAATAAGGGATCGGCCGGGCCGGGCCCGGTTTGGGCCATATTGTTTTTTTTTTTCAATTTTTTTTTGAAAACCCGGGTTGGGCTGGGTATTCTGGGCCATTTGGGGTGGTTTAGGGGGTGAGGGTGAGGGGGTCGGAGTTAAGTAGGAAAAGGAAAAAAAGGGAAAACTGTCAAATAGGTCCTCGAACTTTCATAAAAAAGTCAATTAAGTCCTTCTATAGGAGACTCTGTCCGGTCTTCGCGATTTGGGGCGGTTCCCGGTGGAATTTTTTGATGAAATATTTTGAGCATCTTATTCATCAAGTCTAGTTTACTCATACCAAATTTCAGCTAAAAATTTAATCGGGAGCGCATTCAAATTAATTCGAGAACGCAAAAATGTGCAGTTATCTTCAAGAATTAATTTGAATGTGTTCCCGATTGAATTTTTAGCTGAAATTTGGTATGAATAAACTAGACTTGGTGAATAAGATGCTAAAAAAATTTCATCAAAAAATTCCACCGGGAACTGCCCCAAATCGCGACGGCCGGACAAAACCTCCTAAAGAAAGACTTAATTGACTTTTTTATGAAAGTTCGAGGACCTATTTGACAGTTTTCCCGGAAAAAAAGGAAAAAAACAGAAATTGGGCCGAGGCCTGGCCCGAGTTGGACCCGGCGGCAACCCGGGCCGGTCCCGGGCCTTCCCCCAAACACAAAGGCCTGATCGGGCCTAGGCCCAGCGCGGGCCCGAACCGGCCCGGCTCAACCCCTGGGTTTCGGGCTGCCTGGCCCCACACTGTTTGGAACCGGCCTGGCCCGGTGGCCCTGCCAGAGACCGGTCCAGGTAGGCCCGACCCGGGGGTTACAAAGGGCGTACCTATGGGCTATGGGCCGGTTCGGGCCAGGCTGGGCCTCGGTTCTGTTTTTTGGGCTTGAGCCCGAACCGGTAGCCACCGGTTCCGGGCCGGGCCACCCGGATTGTATTTTTTTTTGCTTCTCCTATTTAACCCCCAACTCACCCCCCTAACCCCCAAACCACCTCAAATGGCCCAAATTACCCAGCCCAACCCAAAAACTTAAAAAAAATTCAAAAAAATAAATAAATTCGGCCCGGACCGGGCCCAAACCGGCCGGGCCGGTTCACCAAATGGAGGGCCCGAGCCTGGAATCAAACCCCACCGGGCCGGGTCGACCGAACCGCCCCTGGGCCGGGCTGCCGGTTCGGTCCGGTTCAAACAGTGACCGGGCGGGCCGGGCCGGTTCTGGGTCGGACCGCCCGGCCCAAGTCCACCCCTAGGCGTGCCCGGGTCAACCAAAATAGGAGCAGGCTTTGCCAGGCCCGGTTCGGGTCTTTTTTTCAACCTTTTTTTTTTTGTTTTTCCCGGGTTTGGCTGGGTGTTTTGGGGGGGGGGGGGGGGGTAATTACAAAAGCCAAAAAAAAGGAACCAGCCAAAGGCCCAGCCCGGAACAGGTGAAAAACCGATCCGGACCCGGTGCATATCCGGTTCCGGGCCTCAACTTTCCCCAAAAAAGCCCGATCAGGCCCGGCCTGAAGTCCGGCCCGACCTGGGCCCGGTCCATGCCTAGATTAGGTAGCCTGGCCTTCACTTAGATCTAGGCATCTAGCTTTTATCCAAAACATGTCCTTTCAAAATGCTTTCATAATCCATATTGTGATTAACCATGTGTATTATTCTCTAAAGGTGTAAAAAAATTTAGTCTAAAGGTTTAGACTAACAGGATACAATTGTGTCTTTTATTAGTTTATGTATGATCTACTGTGCTTATTTTCTGCTAATATTATGTGTATTTAGGGATGGACACAGTTGATGCTCCTGGTTTTCGAATCGGGACAAAGGTTTTACTTTTAATAATGAAAAAAAATATGTAAATTTAATTTCACAAGTAGGACTAGATCACTAGAGTCTAAAATTATTCACAAATAGGATATCATAAATTTTTTTACCCTAAATATCATATAAGAGTATTAATTCCTAATAAAATGTTTTAATTCATAATAAAGTCTTAGAAAGATAAATTCGTAAAAAAAAATTATAGAATAAATATTTTAAGTGTTTTTAAATTAATTAAAAAAAGTAAAAAAACATAAAATTATGAAAAAAAATATGAATGCCTTTCTCACCGCCTCTACCACCTCCCAACACCACCACATCCGATTGGTGAAAAAAATGCCAAGATACTCTTTGCTAATACCAAAATGTTCACAAATATGTCATTACTAATGCATGTTGGCATTTTTCTCCGGTTGGTGAAAAACTATCATAAATATGTCATTACTAACGCATGTTGGCATTTTTTCTCCGGTGATCGGAGCTGGTGGTGTTGGGGATGACAGAGGTGGCGGTGATATTTTTATTATTATTTATTTTTCTAATATTTTATTTTTATCTATTTGATTAAATATTTATTTTAATCCACAATGCTACAAATGCATATTTATTTTAATCTATTTGTGATTTTTGGCTACCTTTTATTCCTAGTTAAATAATTCATTCTAGAATAATGAAAATTATGAAATGCATATGACAAATTTCAATATAACCGGTAAATAACTCTGTTTCGTTGTGTTTGAGATATGTTTGATACGAAAAAAGATCATCCCATTTTTGAGCACGTTGATCAACTCGATACCTTTACAAATTACAATAGGTACCATGCATTTTATGTTTTTTACTCCTAAAATTAACTGAAAATTATTACTTTACCTTCTTTTCATGTGATTTTTTATTTATTTTATTCATAAATGTAAATATAATTTTTTCTTAATTCACTCCATTCAATCACAATTCCACCAATTTGAGTAGATCTATTTGATTTAATCTCAATACTAGTCTGCTACAGATACAAGTCAAACTTGTAACTTCACTAAGAGAAACGGGTTACAAAGTAATTATATGTTTCTTTTCATCATCCTTACCATATCCCCACCCTCCTATGCTCACATTCAAACAAACCAACTCATAAACGATCTTGGAGATCAAACTACATGTCCCAAAAGCACCCAACTGCTTCATTCACCTGATCATTATATTTGTAAAATCCCCTGGTAATGGCTGTCAAATACTCATAATTAGTACTACTTCAATTCCACTAACATTGGACATGAGGAGGTAATAAAGGTATTCAGAAAAATAGATTTATGTAATTGATGTTCAATAGATAAAGTAAGTAATATTGATTTGGGAAAAGGTGCAAATAGGCCCATGTACTAACAAAAAAAGGTCAAATAAGCCCTTATTTAGGATACTCTGTCCGGCCGTCGTCATTTGGGGTGGTTTCCGGTGAAATTTTTTTATGAAATTTTTTTAGCATCTTATTCATCAAGTCTAGTTTACGCATACCAAATTTCAGCTAAAACTTCAATCGGGAAGACATTCAAATGAATTCTTGAAAATAACTGTGCTTCTAACTGCGCAGTTATTTTCAAGAATTCATTTGAATGTCTTCTCGATTGAATTTTTAGCTGAAATTTGGTATGAGTAAACTAGACTTCATGAATAAGATGCTCAAACATTTTCATCAAAAAATTCCACCGGGAAGCACTCCAAATGGCGACGGTCGGACAGAGCCTCCTAAATAAGGGTTTATTTGACCTTTTTTGGTTAGTACATGGGCCTATTTGCACCTTATCCCTATTGATTTAGAACCACACAAATTTGCTATGCGACAATCTTAATCAAACAATCCGAAAAGGAAAGATGGAACAATCTTAGTTTTTTCTTAATGAAATGGAAAAGTCCCAAGTTCTGTGGACTCTCCTGTATTCATAATGTTGATGTTCATGCATTTAGCATGCACAACTCAACATCCACTTACTTAATTGATCAATCAACTTGCCAAGGATAACATACATTATTAAGTAGCAGCAAGATAAATAAAAATTATAATATATAATAATCACCCACGCTAGACAAATGTACACAGGACTGCCTTTTTCTTATTAAAAACTCTATATTTGAAATTATTCGTTATGCAACCATTGCCTACATAATAACTTTTCGAATTTATGAAAATACTTTTCTAACATAATCTGTTGTGTAGTCCGACCGGATTTCCGAGAGTGAAATTGACACTCATAATTTATACTTTGACACCTATGCATGCCTCCCAATGGACATTGCCAAGTTTGGGTTACGTATAAAATAAGAAAAGTAAAATTAAAAGTAAAATTGTGTGGTTTAGAATTATGCAGATGAGAGAAAAAAATAAATTTATAAACTTTTTACTTAAAAAAATGACTAAAGGGTCAAATAGGTACATGAACTAACTTAAAGTGTTCAATTAGCCCCTTATATAGGATGTTTTGCCCGGTCGTCGTCAATTGGGGCAGTTCTCAGTGGAATTTTTTGATGAATTTTTTTTAGCATCTTCTTCATTAAGTCTAGCTTACCCATACCAAATTTCAGCTAAAAATTCAACCGGGAAGGTAGTCAAATAATTTTTTGAAGATAACTGTGCAGTTAAACAGCGCAGTACATTTCGGAAAATCATTTGACTGCCTTCCTGATTTAATTTTTAGCTGAAATTTGATATGGGTAAACTAGACTTAATGAAGAAGATGCTCAAAAAAATTTCAGCAAAAAATTCCACCGGGAACCGCCCCAATTGGTGACGGCCGGGCAGAACCTCCTATATAAGGGGCTAATTGAACACTTTAAGTTAGTTTATGTACCTATTTGACCCTTTAGCCTAAAAAAATTGACAAGTTGAATAGTTAGTGATTACTTATCAGTGTGTGTTAGAAGTAAACTATGGTTAGATTTATTTTTGGTATATTTTATGAGGCTAGGAACATGCACATTCTGGTTTTGTCATTTGGCAACATGAAACAAATCTAAACACTAGACAAGGATGGCTGAGATAAGGAAAAAAAACTTGGAAATCTTTATGCTTGATTAACATAGCATTCATATATCATCAAATCAAAAGGACAACAGTTTACACCGCAAAATATGAATACGCCGAAAACATATTACGGGTCTGTTTGCAATCCATTAAAAAAAAGTGCTTTTAACTTTTTTTTTTAGAAAAAAACATTTATTTTACCAAACACTACCAACTTTTACTTTCTCGGCTTCCGTGTAGAATCTACTTTATTTTCCCAAAAGTGCTTTTATTTAAGCACAAGTAGTTGCAAACAAAGCCTACGCAGACCGAAAGGCTTATGGTAAAGCCCTTAACAAAGACCTTTTCGAAAATTAGAAAACTAAATATACTTTATTGGATATACAGTATATATCTGCTGCATCGATCATGAACTGCTGTAATACCCCTCTGAGCAATTTCTTTCACAAATTCCGAACTCTTCCTCATCACCCATAACTAAATTGAAGGAAACTTAATCGATAAAGAAGGAAACTTTGTTAGTCGTTTTAGAACATAAATGTTTTGCAAAAGTGAAACTAAAAGATTTTAATCACAATGGACTAGAATGGAATAGGCAAAAGTGGCCCAAACTCCACAAAAAATAAACCAACAGATAACCAGTATCAAAGAGGAACAATAAAATTACAATACAAAACTTTTAAAAAAAAGTGGAAATATATAAACTCAAAGTGTTACTAACTACTTTCATGTTATTTGAAGGGGATGCAAGTGAAATAAGTAAGGGGTACTTACCCTGACTTGTTAACCCCGAAGTATTGTCAGAAGCTTTGCCTTATATATTGCAGCCACAACATAAACCCAGTTAGCAAAATCATTGAAGACTTTGAAAAAAGCAAACCTACAAGACCTGTTGAATAGCATTGTCCCAACAACACTTAAAAATCCAACCGCATATCCGACCCCCATGCTTGCATAAAACTCACTGCCAAGAAACTTGTCTGCGTCTTCTTTATTACAAGCTTCTTCTTCTTCTTCTTCTTCACAGAATCTAGGGCGAGAAGGATGGGTTAATTCTTCTCCTTGACAACTGTTGGGGAGTGGATCTCCACACAGCCCGGGATTCCCCATGTATGCACTTGCACTAAAGCTCTGAAGTTGAGTGCCTTTTGGAATTTTGCCTGATAAGAAATTGTTGGACACATTGAGAACACTAATGCGATCAATCAGGGCAAGACTGTGAGGAATGCTACCTGACAAATGATTATTAGACAAATCAAGAACATCTAAGTTTGCCAAGTTACCAATCCTTAAAGGAATCTGTCCCCTTAGGTTGTTTCGTGATATGTTCAAAGAAATCAGCCCAACAAGCGATGTGATTTCATTTGGGATTTCACCGGTTAACATGTTGGATGATAGATCAATGCTTTTTACGTGTCCTAATGTTATGTCAAATTCAGATAACATGCCTTTCCATACAGTATCTACTTTGTCAACTTCCTTGATGGGTAGATCCATTAAAAAAGCTGGACCAATGAGAAAGAGTGGTATTTCATAAGAAATGGTAGCACTGCCGCCTCTTATTATAGTCATTTGAGTAATATTTGAAAGACATTTAGGAAGACTCCCTGTGAGGTGGTTCATGGACAGGTCTAACAGTTGAAGAGATTGGAGATGACAGAGACTTGTGGGTACACTTGCACTGAAGTGGTTGGATGCTAGCACAAGAATCGCAAGCTGTGGTAGATTTTCACCCACCCAATCTGGTAGTGGTCCGAAAAAGTTATTGTGTCCCAGATGTAGAGATACCAATTTGGAGCAGTTCTTGATGAATGAAGGTAGAGTGCCTGTAAAACTGTTACGGTCAAGATGCAATGCCTTTAGGGATGCCAATGATCCAACAGAAGTTGGAAGACTCCCTGATAGATTGTGATTGTTTGCCAAGTTGAGAACTACCAGACTAGAGAGACTTGACCAACAATCTGGAAGTGTTCCTGAAAGTTGATTGAATGAGATATCCAAAAAATGCAAACCAGCAGCCACCTTAGGATCCTTAATGTCACATAGGGAGGTGAGTTCAGTGAAGTTATTATGAGAGAGGTACATCAATGTCACATTAAAGAATGACAGTGGAATGGAACCTTCTAATTTATTGAAAGTTAAGTCTACCCAACCCCCGATTTCAAACCCCGATGATACTTGAGCTTCACTCACAATTCTTCCCTTGATTGCGTTATGAGAAGCATTAATGCTCATAAAATTAGTAGTTGTATTCCAAAACCAGGAGGGAATTGAATCTGAGATGGCATTATTGGAAATGTCAAGCACCACATTGTTGACTTGAGTTCTAAGCCAATTTGGGAATTCAGGGCCCAAGTTACAAGATTCGAGTTCTATCGTTCTCAATTGGAAAGGAGGAAGCCACGCAGAGGTGACATTGAAAGTGAAATTGTTTGAAGATAAATCTAGGAAATGTAGTTCAGAGAGAGTAACAAAATGATGTTCAGAAATGACCCCATCTAGGTGGTTATCACTAAGAATTAATCCTTGCAAAGAGGGAAACATGGAAAGTTCAGGAAATGACCCCGTAATTCGATTGCTACCTAAATATAAATACTCCATAGGGTGATTTGGGCATAATGTGGATATGATTATGTTTCCACTAAGACGGTTGGATATCATGTTTAGGATATACAGAGTGCATATCTGCCAAATGAATTTAGGGATTTCTCCTTCAAATATATTATCCGAAAGATTAAGCTCTTCAAGGAAGGACATATTCCCTAGAGCATCAGGAATGTGACCTTCCAAACTATTATCACTCAGGTCAAGGCTGGTCAACTTACGCATCTTTCCTAATGTTTCAGGAATGAAGCCTTGTAAACTAGTATTGCTCAGGCTAAGATACGTAAGGCTAGTCATGTTTCCCCCGAAACTCGTTGGGATTTTACCTCCCAAAAAGTTTCCACCAATGTCAAGATATGCAAGGGAAGACATATGCCCAAAACCATTTTCATGAATGGAGCATTGTAACCCATTATAGCTGACATCAATGTGTGTAAGAGCAGGCATGCTGTTTCCAAAATATTCAGGAAGGGAACCTTCTAACCGATTACTTGCGAGATTAAGGTATATGAGGGCAGGCATGCTGTTCCCAAAATTTTCAGGAATGGGACCTTGTAACGCATTATCGCTGAGATCAAGGTATGTGAGGGCAGGCATGTCGTTCCCAAAATTTTCAGGAATGGGACCTTGTAATTTATTACCGGTGAGATCGAGGTGTTTGAGGGTGTGAAAGACATTATAATATACTTTAGAATATACTTTAGAATATTCTTCTATCCTTAGAATATACTTTAGAATATTTTAGGAATATACTCTAGGATATTATTATTGTATAGAATCTTATAGGAATATTCTATCTTTGTAATGTATATTTATAGGGACTTAACCCTCCAATGAAATACACAGAAAATCTTTCTCTCCATCTTTATTATCATTATAGTTTATATTTCAACATGGTATCAGAGCCATCTAGTTCAGTTTAGTTTTTCATATTTCAGTTTTCCAGATTTCAACTTAGTTTTCAGACTCAGTTCTTTCTCAAAGAACCTGAGTTCAGTTCAGAACCTCTTGTGCACCAATCTGTCTCTAAGAAACTAAATCCGGGACAGAACCACTCTACACACCATCATCATTAACCAGAACCTTTATTCAGAACCTTAGTTCAAACAAACAGAATCAGGTGTCACATTGCTTGTGGTGTATGTCGATGATATTGTGATTACAGGGAGTGATAATGCAGGTATTTTGGCCCTTAAGAATTTTCTTCATAGTCAATTCCAGACAAAAGATTTGGGCTCATTAAAATACTTCTTGGGGATTGAGGTTACAAGGAGTAAGAAAGGCATATTTCTATCTCAGCGTAAATATGTGCTTGACTTGCTAACTGAAACAGGGAAATTAGGGGCAAAACCGAGCAATACTCCCATGATTCCTAATGTGCAGCTCACTCATGAAGGTGTGCCATTTGAAGATCCAGAAAGATACAGAAGGTTGGTTGGAAAGCTTAACTATCTCGCAGTTACCCGTCCAGATATTGCCTACTCAGTCAGTGTAGTAAATCAATATATGTCATCTCCGACAATTGATCATTGGAATGCAGTAGAGCATATATTATGTTACTTGAAGGGGACACCAGGACGAGGTATTGTTTACCAAAATCATGATCACATGAGAATAGAATGCTTTGCAGATGCTGATTGGGCTGGATCTAAAGATGATAGGAGATCCACATCTGGCTATTGCGTCTTTGTTGGTGGTAATCTCGTCTCTTGGAAAAGTAAGAAGCAAAATGTGGTTTCTCGTTCGAGTGCTGAATCAGAATATCGGGCTATGGCACAATCGGCATGTGAGATAATCTGGATAAACCATTTGCTGAGTGAAATCGGATTGAAGACACCAATGCCTGCTAAACTCTGGTGTGATAACCAAGCGGCTATACACATTGCCAACAACCCAGTGTTTCATGAGAGAACAAAACATATTGAGGTCGATTGTCACTTTGTTCGAGAAAAGATACAACAAGGATTGATCTCTACAGGATATGTGAAGACTGGAGAGCAACTTGGAGATTTGTTCACTAAAGCATTAAATGGAATTCGTGTTGGTTATTTATGTAACAAGTTGGGCATGATAAATATCTATGCTCCAACTTGAGGGGGAGTGTGAAAGACATTAGAATATACTTTAGAATATACTTTAGAATATTCTTCTATTCTTAGAATATACTTTAGAATATTTTAGGAATATACTCTAGGATATTATTATTGTATAGAATCTTATAGGAATATTCTATCTTTGTAATGTATATTTATAGGGACTTAACCCTCCAATGAAATACACAGAAAATCTTTCTCTCCATCTTTAATATCATTATAGTTTATATTTCAACAGAGGGCAGGCATGCTGCTTCCAAAATTATGGGAAATGTTGCCAACAATTCCCACGAATACAAGAGTGAGATGTTGAAGAGAGACCACACTATTCCCAATCAATGTTGAGATGCTCTGGTTTGCCAGCAAGTTGCTGCTGTAGGCAAGACTCAAATACTTCAAATAGTGAAGCTCAATAAAAGAAAGTCTGGTATGTGGAGCTTTCCTGGACAGCTTCCTCACATAAGAAAGATCAATCTTGATGACATGACCAGTGAGGTGATCACACCCAACTCCAGCCCAACCGCTGCAACAATCTTCGTTGCGGCTGCCCCAAGACCGTAGAGCGTAGACATACTCAGATGCAATCATTCAACAGCGTTAACATGTTTATTTTGTTTTCCAAAATTGAAAGGGGAAAATGGAAACTAATAATCCAACCTTTTAGCGGCCTTCTTACAATAGTTCCACATTTTCATTATTCATGAATAATCCAACCTTTGTACCCCATCTTCATTCACTGGTCCCTGATCGGTTGATGACCAGCTTTTCCAAGTTATTTTCTTATCTTTGCAAACCATTATACCATAAATCTCACCTTTCACAAAGATAATATTTTGCAAAGAAAAGAAAATAACTTGGGATAGCAGGTTATTAATCGGTAGGGACCAGCGAATGAAGATAGGGTGAAAAGGTTGGATTATTCTTGAATAACCAAAAGGTGAGAGTATTGTAAGAAGACTGCTAAAAGGTTGGATTATTAATTTCCATTTTCTTTCCAAAATGAAAATGCGCAATGCTAGAGTGTATTCTGTATTTGTTTCAATTCGGATATATGATTTGTGTAGTTATTTTTTTTACCACACATTATTTTGAATAATCTATTTTATTTTTAAAAAGAAAAACAAGTCTAACGTTTTAAGTGTTTTATAATTTATCTTTATTTATCATAATTTTTCCCATAATAAATAACTTTCTAATACCAACTTTAATCCATAGATCATGAAAAAATATGCAGCTTTAAAAAAATCTCTCAATTGGACATCTGAGCTTAAAATAAAGAATATTTAAGACTTTTAAAGAAAACATGTTTTGATGCGTTTGTAGCTATAATGGCAACAAAAAATACTACACGTACTTTTTTACATAAAAACTATAAAAATACTTATTCGCTTGTTAAGCTTTGCTCATAAAAATGAAACAAAACAATTTGATGTATGCCAACAACAACAAATGCATAAAGTTAGAGAAAGTATTGGGAATGCAATTTGACATGATTATAATGTTTGAGACGTCAAATTAAAGTACCAATAGTGTTATGTATTGCGTATTTGTTTTTCAAGACAACATCGTCTTGTATTAAAATGTCACTTCTAAAGTTTTGTTCATGGAGAATCATTTATGTAAATTTTTTGTGTTATTTCAAATGTTTCTAATTATGAGTACTTTATTTTGCACTATGCACACATTATTTTTAGCGGTGTCATGTGATATCTGTCATTTTTTCCGCCTTTGGTTCTCTTAGGTTTCAATTTCTCAATGTATATACTTGCTTTATAGTTTCAAAAAATGTTATGGAAAACTGTAGAAATTTGGAAAACATGTGTTCAGATTTGGAAAATGGAAACAGAAAACTAAATGAATAAGTAAATGCGCCTAAGCTTTCCCTTTAATAATTGAAATTAGTAAGGTATTAGTTACTTTTCTAGTAGAACTTATTAGATTTTCGAGATGAATGTTTTAGTTTTCTTTTCATATTTTTTCTCTTTAGAAAAATAAAATGAAATACAATTTTTCATTATTTATACAATTCAGTCATAATATCACCAATTTTTGTAGATCTATGTGATTCGGCGTTATCCAATAAGCTCTTAGAACTAATATGTTTATACTCTCTCCGTCCCGAAATGAAGTTCGCGGTTTGACCTACACACATATTTATGTAAAATAGAGTTTTTTTAACTTTTCAATTACACCCTTTCTTTATGTCTAATCAAGCAAAAGTGTGTAAAAAGTAAGGATAGTTGTGATTTTTTGGTTAAAAGTAGTTTCTTTGATAGAAACTAGTAATAGAACCCGTGCATACGCACGGGAAAAGCAGTTGATGCATATGTATACTTATGATGTAATCAAATATTAAAATAGAATAGTTATTCAGAATAATTATTAAGATATATTTGCACGAATAATGAAGGATAGTATCTAAAACCACTACATATGATATAAAAAATGTTTCCCTCACTTATTAGTCCGCTTATTTTATACGGAGTACTTAAAAATACTACATATGAGAGAAAGTTATCCCGCTCAATTATTAGTCCATTTATCTTCTTATACCTAAAAACATTAGTATGAGAGAGAAAAATTTTCCGTTCAATTATTAGTCCACTCATCTTACGGAGTATTTTATACTCCTACTTAAAAAAATAAGTTTACCGAAAAGTGATTTTGTTTCGTAAATCTCCCCATACGTCTTACTTTTGTAGAATACACTACGGTATATTTGTTAAATATTTTTAGTGAATGCAATAATACTACGTATATAGTTTGTTTGTGATAAATTCTATTTTAACCTGAAATTGTATATTATTGGAGTGAGTATATTTGAATTCTTAAGAAGATTTATTAGTATATGGAAAAAAGAGATCTGATCTATAATCCATAAGTTCGAGGATACCAAAGACAACAACCAATGCATCTAATTTTTGCTTATCAATACATATCAGCTCTTCATTATGATTTTTCTTTGATTTGCAGGCCGTATGCAATTTCCTAATGTTTGGATCAGCACCATGGATGAATATAATTTGATGCAATGAATGCAATGCTGAGGATTTTGCTGACAATATGTTTCAAGTACTATTTATATGAAGGATTAGTTAATCTAATATTTAATCAATTGCCATAATGTTCATTTGCATAGCATAAGATATACGTAGTACTTGATTATCTTTAATGTGGTGTTATCATTTCTATTGATTCTAGCATGACTTATACTGGCATATGATTTTTTAGGTGTCTTGCTCAAGACTTTATGAGGTCTTTTTTGAATTTATCAAATTATTCTTCAGTTTTTTTTTCTTATTTCCCTTATTTTCATAATGTAACGCACTCGATCATGCAAGAGACATACATGATTTAGATATTTTAATGGCTGTGTAGTGTTTGTTTAATGTTATTTTCTCAATCACATGTGTATTGATCTGATAAAGACCTTGAAACCTGAGATAAAAGACATTTCTTATTTCAGAATTGGTTAGTAAGTGGGTTGTTTTTTTGCTGTTTATTCAGCTCGAAAAATGAATATTTGTTTGGTTAATGGTTAAAATCTCGAAAAGGTGTCATTTTATTTGAAAGTAGAATACTCGTTGAGCACTAAAAGTATGGAAATCTTATCATTTACCTAGGCGATTCAGGTAACTTCTTTGGAGAGGGTTAATTATGTCAATATAGCTAGACAGTTCATGCTGCTTCTGAGGATGGTAGGTTGTATTAAAATGTGTTACTCTTTTTTATCTATGTTTTTATTTATTTCTAATTTTAGGCATGGTTGGGAGGAATGTTTGCAAAGCGGTCTGCGAATAGAGCGGCTCATGAATTAGCTCAAGCCGCATGTTCTATGTCTGATCGTCATGCTTGGTTTTTAACTCCTCCAGATTTCCTTACGCATGTATTGAATATTGATTCTCTTAATGATAATTAATTCTCTTTTCCTAAAAAAAAAAAAAAGAAAATGGATTTATCAAGTGACTACAAGCTTTGAGGAGTTTGAGGATCAAATTCTGCAGGATTTCATCTGCAATCGGCAGGGCAGTCCAACCTGCCAGCCGCCAGGACCTCACGACAGTTGATGGTGCTTCTGGATTTCTGATTGCAATTTGGTGTGAATGAGGCAGAGTATGGGGCGACTCAACGGCTACCAGGGCGGCGACCGCGCTGGTCGATTGAGACAGATCCAGACCTTGGGGCTCTACTTTCAGTGACGGCAGCCGGCAGATAGTTGGCCATATCGATAGGCATAACACATGACTAAGCGGCCATGGGTTGCCAACAAGTGCAATGCTTGCCTTGAATGCCTTTTGCAAGATGGATTTGTAATACTTCAAATAAGTGTCAGATTAGTCGTAAATCTATATGCATGAGTATCTTGCCATTGAGACATTGAGCATTGAAGGGTGCAAAGATTGAATTAGAAATCATTATACAAGAAAATCAGGAAGTCTGATATCCTTTTTGGCGTGTTTGCAGTAATGCAAAAAACCCAAGTTCTGGTCTCTGTATGTGAGAAATAAGGGCAGTGAAACCTTGCTATATTTCTATATTAAGTAAATACCTATGCAAAATTTGTTGTAAATATAATTCACAGAAATTAAGAACGATGTGTCCAAAGATAGATTGATATATACGTTTAAGGTGGTTTATGAACACTATTGGAATGTACTTTTACAAGGATTAAAAATAATAATAAACGAAGTTACTACAATACTCATTTTAGATGTATACATGGTAGACTTGAATACGCACTAATTAGAACTGTAGCAGACCAATACAAACTACTTGAAGTATTGTCGATTAAAAATTATAATAAACGCTTTCCTCACACATTAACTATATCTACAAAAATTCATTATACATAGACATAATATATAATCATAGATGTTCATTCATTAATTATTCAAAGACTACTATGAATGTTACTCCGTAGAATGTATTTTTCCTAGAATAAAATAGGCATAACTACTATCAGAGTGCATATATATGTTCACTGATTCCATTATTTATTTGCTTTCATGAGCTCATATTTTTTACTTTAAAATTCGATTCGATAACATTCACTAATATTTTTAATTGAATATATCGCCGTGCATCGCACGGGTGGAACTCTAGTATGATCAAGTCAATGTGAAGATACTACTTTTCTTAAACTATCATACATAAATCAAATGTATCTCAGATTTTGGGAAGAGAAAGTCTTCATGTTACTTGAAAAAATCATACCAATAACACATACTTTAACTTTTTCAGAGTTATTAATTAATTTGTATTGGAGATATTGCTAAAAAGTAAAAATAATTCGACTCCCAACCCTAACAGAAAGACGTTAAAATTAAAAGTAATGGTACCGAAGATCTGTTTCTTTTCCTTCTCCGCACCCTGCCACACTAAGGATATGTAATCAAATGAAAAGCACCAGGCTGAACATGGCTAAATTTGAATACGCCTAAATTCCCCAAAATATATTCAGCTAAGCAGCCCAAAATGGCTTATGGTGATGCCTTTAACAAAGATAATTTTGAAAATAGGAAGATAAATATACTTTATTGGCTACTTAAATGGTACTATGTATGCCTTTAGCAATTTCTTCTTCCACAAATTCCAAACATGTCTTCATCACCCATAACTATCCAAATTGAGGAACATCAAGGAAAAAATAAGACAGCCCATTAAGAGAGAAACTTTGTTACTGCCTTCTTGGAACATATACTCGTAGTACATGTTTCACAAAAGTGAACTATAAGATTTTAACCACAATGAACTAGAAATCTAGAATGAAGAGCCAAAAGTGCCCCAAACTACACAAAGATTGAACCATCACATAACCCCAGTATCCAAGAGGAACAATGACATTACAAAAACAAAACATAGAAAAAAGAGTGGGGATATATAACCTAAAAGTGATACTATGTGTGTGGGTGGGGGGGGTGATGCATGTGATGTAAGTAAGGGGTACTTACCCTGACCTATTAACTCCCAAGTATTCTCAGAAGCTTTGCCTTGTAGATTGCAGCCACAACATAAGCCCAATTAGCAAAATCATCAAGGACTTTGAAAAACGAAAACCTAAAAGACCTGTTGGATAGTACTGTCCCAACAATCGTAAGGAATCCAAATGCATATCCCACCCCCATGCTTGCATAAAAGTCACCACCGAAAATCTTATCTACATCTTCTCCTTTTTCTTCTTCACTGAATCCAGGAGGAGAAGGATAAGTTAATTCTTCTCCTGGACAAGTATTGAGGAGTGGATCTCCGCATAGACCGAGATTCCCCATGTATGCACTTGCATCAAAGCTCTGAAGTTGAGTGCTTTTCGGGATTTTGCCTGATAAGTTATTGTTGGACACATTGAGAGCACTTATGCGATCAATCAGGGCAAGGCTTTGAGGAATGCTACCAGACAAATGGTTATTAGACAAATCAAGAGCATCTAAGTTTGCCAAGTTACCAATCCTTAAAGGAATCTGTCCCCTTAGGTTGTTTCGTGATAAGTTCAAAGAAATCAGCCCAACAAGCGATGTGATTTCATTTGGGATTTCACCAGTCAACACGTTGGATGACAGATCAATGCTTTTTACATGTCCTAATGTTCTTCCAAATTCAGACAGCATACCTTTCCATACAATATCTACTTTGTCAAATTCATTGATGGCTCCATTCGTTGGAAAAATTTCATCAGGAGGGACAGGGAATGGTATTTCATAAGAAATGGTAGCACTGCCGGCTCTTATTATAGTCATTTGAGTAAGATTTGAAAGACATTTGGGAAGACTCCCTGTGAGGTGGTTCATGGACAGGTCTAACAGTTGAAGAGATTGGAGACGACAGAGACTTGTGGGTACACTTGCATTGAATTGGTTGGATCCTAGCGCAAGAATCGCAAGGTGTGGTAGATTTTCACCCACCCAATCTGGTATTGGTCCGAATAAGTTATTGTGTCCCAGATGTAGAGATACCAATTTGGAGCAGTTCTTAATAGATGAAGGTAGAGCGTCAGTAAAACGGTTATGGTCAAGATGCAATGCCTTTAGGGATGCCAATGATCCAATAGTAGTTGGAAGACTCCCTGATAGATTTTGATTGTTTGCCAAGTTGAGAACTGTCAGACTAGAGAGACTTGACCAACAATCCGGAAGTGTTCCTGAAAGTTGATTGAAAGAGATATCCAAAACAAGCACACCAGCAGCCACCTTAGGATCCTTAATGTCACATAGGGAGGTGAGTTCAGTGAACTTATTATAAGAGAGGTTCATCATTTTCACATTGAATAATGACTGTGGAATGGAACCTTCTAATTTATTGAAACTTAAATCTAGCACATCCATGTTTCCAAACCCTGATGATACTTGAGCGCCACTTACAATTCTTCCCTTCATTGCGTTATGAGAAGCATCAATGGTCACATTATTAGGATTTGTATTCCAAAACCAGGAGGGAATTGAATCTGAGATGGCGTTATAGGAAATGTCCAGTACTAAATAGTTGACTTGAGTTCTAAGCCAATTTGGGAATTCAGGGCCCAAGTTACAAGACGCGAGGTTTATCATTATCAATTGGAAAGGAGGAAGCCAAGCAGACTGAAATTGAAAGTGAAATTGGTTGAAGATAAATCTAGGAAATATAGTTCAGAGAGAGTAACAAAATGATGTTCAGAAATGACCCCATCTAGCGGGTTATAACTAAGATTTAATCCGTGCAAAGAGGGGAACATTGTAAGTTCCGGAAATGATCCCGTAATTTGATTGCTACCTAAATTTAAATACCCCATATGGTGATTTGGGCATAATGTGGATATAGTTATGTTTCCACCAAGACGGTTGGATGTCATGTCGAGGGCATTTAGTGTGCATATCTGCCAAATGAATTTTGGGATTTCTCCTTCAAATCTATTATATGAAAGATCAAGCACTTTAAGGAAGGACATATTCCCTAGAGCATCAGGAATGTGACCTTCCAAACTATTATGACTCAGGTCAAGTTGAGTCAACTTAATCATCTTTCCAAATGTTTCAGGAATGGAGCCTTGTAAACTGGTATTGCTCAGGCTAAGGTACGTAAGGCTAGTCATGTTTTCCCCTAAACTCGTTGGGATTTGACCTCCCAAAAAGTTTCCACCAATGTCAAGATATGCAAGGGAAGACATATGCCCAAAACCATTTTCATGAATGGAGCATTGTAATCCATTATAGCTGAGATCAATGTGTGTAAGAGCAGACATGCTGTTTCCAAAATATTCAGGAAGGGAACCTTCTAACCGATTACTTGCGAGATTCAGGTGTATGAGGCCAGGCATGCTGTTCCCAAAATATTCAAGAATGGGACCTTGTAACCCATTACGGCTGAGATCAAGATATGTGAGGGCAGGCATGCTGTTCCCAAAATTTTCAGGAATGGGACCTTGTAACGCATTATAGCTGAGATCAAGGTATGTGAGGGCAGGCATGCCGTTCCCAAAATTTTCAGGAATGGGACCTTGTAATTTATTACCGCTGAGATCGAGGTGTTTGAGGGCAGGCATGCTGCTTCCAAAATCATGGGAAATGTTTCCAACAATTCCCATGAATACAAGACTGAGATGTTGAAGGGAAACCACACTATTCCCAATCAATGTTGAGATGCTCTGGTTTGCCAGCAAGTTGCTGCTGTAGGCAAGACTCAAATACTTCAAATAGCGAAGCTCAATAAAAGAAAGTCTGGTATGTGGAGCTTTCCCAGACAGCTTCCTCACATGAAAAAGATCAATCTTGATGACATAACCAGTGTGGTGATCACACCTAACTCCAGTCCAGCCCCTGCAGCAATCTTTGTTATGGATACCCCAAGACCGCAGACTGTCTTCCTCATCAACAATGCTGCGCTTAAACTTCAGCAGCACTTCCCTCTCCCCATCAATGCATTTACCAGCACTCACGCTCATCGCCAGCACCCCCACTGCCATCAACAACAATACTACACCCATGCTTTATTACCTTGTTGAAGTATGTTCCTCTCAACCAGTCATCTTCTCTTGTGCTGCTCTGGTTCCATAGATAATAATAGGAGTCCACCGCCAAGTCAAGTCGTCCCAACAGCAAATCAAATGTAAGAGCAGTGCAAGAATGTGACCACCGACCACTTCCTGCTCACTTGTACGTACATAATCACCTTTTGCTACGTGTCCCCAATCCATGTGCGGACGCGGAAGAAGACGATTAACCAAACCATTGCCATTATTTGAGGGCCGGTGGAGACCGTGGACGTACTCAGATGCAATCATTATTCAACAGCGTTAACATGTTTTTTTTTTTGTTTTTCAAAATTGAAAAACGCAAAGCTATCTTGTTTCTTTCTGGAGAAGTCACTTTTAGGAATTTTCCAAAATGAAAATGCGAAATGCTAGAGTGCATTCTGAATTTGTTTCACATTCGGATATACGGAGTATGATTTGTCTAGTTTTTTTTTACCACACATTATTTTGAGTAATCTATTTTATTTTTAAAAAGAAAAACAAGTCTAACTTTTAAGTGTTTTATAATTTATCTTTATTTATCATAAATTTTTCCTATAACAAATAACTTTATAATACCAACTTTATTTAATCCATAGATCATTAAAAAATATGCAGCTTTAAAAAAATCTCTCAATTGGAAATTTGAACTTAAAATAAAGAATATTTAAGACTTAAAAAATATAGCCGAGATCATTATTTTTAGCGGTGTCATGTGATATCTGTCAGTTTTTCCGCCTTTGGTTCTCTTAGGTTTCAATTTCTCAATGTGTATACTTGCTTTATAGTTTCAGTTATGGAAAACTATAGAAATTTGGAAAACATGTGTTCAGATTTGGAAAATGGAAACAGAAAACTGAATGAATAAGCAAATGTGCCTACGCTTTCCCTTTAATAATTGAAATTAGTAAGGTATTAGTTACTTTTTTAGTAAAACTTATTAGATTTTCTAGATGAATGTTTTAGTTTTCTTTTCATATCTTTTCTCTTTATAAAAATAAATGAAATATAATTTTTCATTATTTATCCAATTTAGTCATAATATCACCAATTTCTGTAGATCTATGTGATTCGGCGTTATCCAATAAGCTCTTAGAACTAATATGTTTATACTCTCTCCGTCCCGAAATGATGTGTTGGAATATTTTCAACATGAAAGTTGATTACTTGTCTCATACGGATGTGAGAAAAACTAAAGTGTCAACTTTATTAAGGAAAGTCTTCCAAGTGGTTAGTATGGTGTATGTTGTATGGGTTATTGGACCCATGATTATTTTATGGGATGATATTATTATGATTATATATACTTAAAATATGTATAATTGTATTAAGAGTCATGTCCTGGTACCAAACGTCATATGCATGGTACGAATATAATAATAGTTGTTATTATTATTATTATTATAATAACTCACCCATGATTATCTATTAAGATAAATTAGCACGGTTCCTTAACTGCCACACCAAAGGACGCTAGGAACGATCATCTGCTCTCCATATATATTGCTTCAAGTTTCGTAGTTTTCTAGAGTGAATTCTTTTCTTGACTTTTACTTCAAAACACAAATACGTATACACATTCTGCAGATGTGTATGATATACTATCAAGGCTATTAGTTACAGAGTATTTAGGATTAGATTATTAAGTGCAAATAATCTAATGAGGCTTCATTGTATCCTAAAGGCAATTCGTTGGACCATATGCACTATTTATGTGGGACGTATTTCGCCTAAAGGAAAGCGATTTGATCGTGACTTGAAGCCGGAGTAGTTCTACATTCGTTTCTCAGTTTATTGTTAAATAAAGTAGTATTTCAATCACGTTTAGTGTTCTAGATTTCCAACAATCTTTAGGCGATATAAGTTAGTTTTTTGGAAATGGCGAATCTGCAACAATTAACCACCGACTTTGTGACGTTGGAAAAATTTGAAGGAGGAAACTACATGCGTTGGCAGAAGAAGATCAAGTTCCTATTGTTCAATCTGAAGGTTGATTATGTTCTGACCACACTGAAGCTCGAGGAATCCGAAAGTGAAACCATGGCTGATGCAAGGGCGAGGATCAAGTGGTTGAACGATGATGAAATATGCAAAGGACATATTCTAAACGCTCTGTCGGATGATCTGTTCGATGTGTACCAGAACACCCCTACCGCAAAGGAACAGTGGGAGACTCTGAACAATCGCTACTTAACCGAAGACGTGACTAGTGAGAAATTTCTAACTTCCCATTTCATGAACTATGTCATGTCTAATGATCGTCCTATCTCTAATCAATATGATGAGATGATGTGCATTTTAGGACAAATGAAACAATTAAACTTAAACATGGATGAGACTATTTCTGTTTCATGCATCCTAGACAAACTGCCTCCCTCATGAAAAGAGTTTTGGAAAAGTCTGAAACGAAAGAACGAAGATATGTCTCTACGAGACCTCGGGAGTCGGGACACATATTCGTGTTGAGGAAGAGACAAGGAAACTTGAAAAAAGGGATCAACCCGAATCTTCCAAAAGCAATATGATTAAGGAAGGAAAGCCTGGACAGAATTCTAAATATTCTGGAAAGAAAAGGAAGTCAAATGATGATGGACCTAAGGAGAATCACAGCAACAAAAAGAAGAAAGTCACATGTTGGTACTGTAGTAAAGTCGGCCACATAAAACGTGATTGCCGATTTTACAATCAGAAACATGGCAATAAAAGCAAAGACAAAGGCAAAGAAAAATTTGTTGTTGTTATCACGGAAGCCAATATGGTGGAAGATGATGGTTCATGGTTTATTGATTCTGGTGCTACCAAGCATGTGTGCAAGGATAGGAGTATGTTTACATCCTATGAGGCTCTTCAAGATGGAAGTGTCATGTACATGGGGAATTCTTCTACTGCTATGATCAAAGGTGTTGGACAAGTTGATATGGAATTTACTTCTGGAAAAATATTGTCTATAACTAATGTGTATCATGTACCTGATGTTAGGAAGAATCTCGTGTCTGTAGCCCTCCTGAACAAGCATGGTTTTAAACTAGTGTTAGAGGGTGATAAATTTGTACTGACTAAAGGGGGGTAGTTGTAGGAAAGGGATATCCTGAACATAGTAAAGGGTATAGATTTCTTGTGGTAGAACCAAATGAATTTATTGGTGTTAATTCTATCATTGAGTCTAGAGATGCTATTTTCTATGAGAATAGTTTCACGATTATTTCTAGGTTTAATGGTTCACATGAATCCCAAGAGGAGCATGAGGTTATTGTCTCTAAGAGACATCTTGAACAAGAAGAAGTTCTAGAATTTGAACCTGAACCCGAACCTCAACCTAGAAGAAGTAAGAGAACTAGAATTGAAAAATCATTTGGACCCGATTTTGTGGTTTACTTGGTTGAAGGATCAAGAACTTCTCATTGTACCCAAACTATGATTTCTAATAGTGTTGAGCCTGATCCCCAAACTTTTGATGCAGCTATGAAATCACAAGATGTTTCATTTTGGAAAGAAGCTATCGATGATGAAATGGGTTCTATCATGGGTAACAACACTTGGGTGTTATTTGATTTACCCCCAGGGTCTAAACCTATAGGGTGTAAATGGATCTTTAAGAAAAAGATAAAAGTTGATGGAACCATAGATAAATTCAAAGCTAGATTGGTAGCCCAAGGCTTTACACAAAAAGGAGGTATCGATTATTTTGATACATATGCTCCTGTCGCTAGGATCTCTACCATTAGACTTCTTGTAGCTTTGGCTTCTATATATGGTTTTGTCATACATCAAATGGATGTGAAAACTGCGTTTCTCAATGGAGAATTGGAGGAAGAAATATACATGAAACAACCTGAAGGTTTTGTCATGCCTGGACAGGAGAAGAAAGTATGTAAACTCATATGATCTTTGTATGGACTGAAACAAGCTCCAAAGCAATGGCATGAGAAACTTGACAAGGTTATTGTATCCAATGGATTTGCAATCCATGAGTCAGATAAATGTGTTTATAGTAAATTCACTGGCAATAAAGGTGTCATTATATGTTTGTACGTTGATGACATGTTGATTTTTGGCACTGATATGGAATTAGTACACCATGTTAAATCATTCCTTTCTTCTCAGTTTGAGATGAAAGATATGGGTGCTGCTGATGTGATTCTTGAAATAAGGATCAAGAGTATTGACTCCAAATTGGTTCTTTCACAGTCTCATTATGTGGAGAAGGTTTTAAAGAAGTTCAATCAATTTGATGGCAGTTCTGTAAATACTCCTTATGACCCTAGTATTAAACTGTATAAGAAGGTTTTAAAGAAGTTCAATCAATTTGATGGTAGTCCTGTAAATACTCCTTATGACCCTAGTATTAAACTGTATAAGAATACAGGAAGAGCTGTTAATCATTTAGAATATTCTAGGGTCATTGGGTCATTGATGTACATTATGACGTGCACATGACCAAACATTACTTTTGCTGTTGGGAAACTTAGTAGGTATACTAGTTGTCCTAGTAACATTCACTAGAACGGTCTTAATAGAGTACTGAGATACTTGAAGAAAACCATGGATTATGGTTTGTACTATAGTGGTTATCCTAGTGTGCTTGAAGGTTTTACTGATGCTAGCTGGATAACTGATCGAGAGGATCACTCTTTCACGAGTGGTTGGATATTTATGCTTGGTGGAGGTGCAGTTTCATGGGCCTCCAAGAAACAAACATGTATCACTGATTCTACCATGGCTTCGGAATTTGTGACTTTGGCCTCATGTGCTAAAGAAGCTGAATGGTTAAGGAATCTCCTTATAGAGATTCCTGTGTGGCCAAAACCGGTGTCACCATTGTCTATCCACTGTGATAGTGAGGCTACTCTGTCTAGAGCCTATAGCAACATTTATAATGGAAAATCCAGACACATTGGACTTCGACATAGCTATGTACGACGATTGATCACTAATGGTGTGATAACTATAAACTTTGTAAGATCTTTTCAGAATTTGGCTGATCCGCTTACAAAGGGATTGTCGAGGGACTTAGTCTTTAAGACCTCCAAAGGGATGGGTCTTATGCCCGTTTAATGATCACCAATAATGGAAAACCAACTTGACTCTTAAAACATTAAGAGTACTAGTTCAATGACTAAAGTACATTATATGTAGTGATTGAAGCACAAATAAATTTGTAATATCTCAAAAGTTGTAGTGCTTGTTGTTCGTAGTAGTACAGAGAGGATGAGCAGAAGGCTCTTAATGAACTTGCAAGTGTTTACAGCTGCGAGAGCACAAAGTTCACCTATATGAGTGTTTAAAGTGGTGCCGCTTTATATGAGTTATGGGCTTGACTCTAGATCACTCCTGAACAGGATATGGACACATGGCCAATTCACGTGTCGGCATTGTAAAAATAGTCTTGTAACGTTGGATAATTTGTGTGTGTAATCGTCTCCGGTTAGTTATATAGGAAATTGGTTCAATGATTC